AATTCCCTAGCCCCCCCTCCAGTTCCTTTATATCATTACTAACATATAGTTCTTCATACACAGTCATATGTCCATCATTGTGGGCATGACAATGGCAGAGAGTCCAGCATCCTATTGTCAAGATATAGTAAACAGTTTCATTGTAAGTCCATCTTTGTCTAGAAGTAGAGATGCATACTACATTGTATCCTCATATCTGGATATGATAGTCTCCATTTCACAGCTACTGTACATCCCGTCAAGTGAAAAGTCATAATACAAAATAAACAATAGAAAGAAAAATAGAAATTTACATTGCCATCAAGTTAAATAGCAAAATGACAACAGAAGACTAAATCATTGAACAACTCATTCCTAAAATGTCAGGACCAAAGTACCACCCATACGTATTAACCCTGAATGTAAATGGTTTAAGCTCAATCAAACATCATAGATTAGTAGACTGGATTAGAAAACAGAACTGATCTATTTGTTGTCTAGAAGAGACACATTTCACCAACAAAAATCAGCGGAAGCTATATCACATGGGTTTTGATGTTTTCTGTTAGTTTCGCCTCTTCAAAAACACTTTCTTCTGATTAAATTCTTCAATGACTCATAGATCATACAGTAGCATCATTTTTTGCAAGAACGTTCTTGATTTTCATGTCTTCAGCTACATGTTAGCTACATGTTAGTCATTTAGTAGCATGTTATTCAACTTTATGGTGCTGTTAATTTCTTTTTTCTTCCTAATGTTGATTTTGTTCCGTGGCTTTTCACTTAAAGGGATGTATAGTAGCTGTGTAATTGAGACTGTCATAACTATTCATGATCCTTTGTGTTTCCAGATGAACGTTTGTGTGTTTTTTCTATTTCTGAGAAGAATGTTGGGCTTTTGATTGGGATTGCATTTAATCTGTAAATTACTTTTGGTAATATGGATATTTTCATGATGTTGATCCTGCTGATTCAGGAAGATTTCTCCATCTTTTACTATCTTCTATTTCTTTCTGTTTTTTTTTTAAAGATTTATTTTATTTCTATTGGAAAGTCAGATATAGAGAGAGGAGGAGAGACAGAGAGCAAGATCTTCCGTCCAATGATTCACTCCCCAAGTGAGCGTAATGGCTGATGCTATGCCAATCCAAAGCCAGGATCCAGGAACTTCTTCCAGGTATCCCACACGGGTGCAGAGTCCCAAGGCTTTGGGCCATCCTCGACTGCTTTCCCAGGCCACAAGCAGGGAGCTGGATGGGAAGTGGAGCTGCCGGGATTAGAACCGGTGCCCATATGGGATCCTGGGCGTGCAAGGCGAGGACCTTAACCACTGTGTCATCGCGCTGGGCCCTTTCTTTTTTAAAGTGTTTTATAGTTTTCATCATAGAGGTCTTCCACATCTTCGATTAGTTTAATTCCAAGGTATTTAAGATTCCTTTCTGCTATCTTAAAGGGGACTGTACTTACAATTTCTTTCTTAGTCAAGGAGTTAGTAAGGTAACCTCCTTGCAAAATACATGATCGATCGAACTTTGGAAAACATTTTTGCTGCATCTCATGTATTTTGATATTTTTATTTTCATTTCCTCAAAATAGCTTTTTTCTCTTATTAAATTCCTCACTGACTCATAGGTCATACAGTAGCATCATTTTCTTCGAGGTTTTTGATTTTCTTTTTCATTTCCTCAATGACATATTAGTCACTCAGTAGCACGTTATTTAACTTCATGGCATTGTAAATTTTCTTTATTTCTTCCTGTTGTTGATTTTGTTTTATGGCTTTTCATTTAAAGGGATGTAGTCAGCAACTGTGTAATGGAGATAATCATATCCAGATGTGAAGATACAATACAGTATGTGTCTCTATTTCCAAATCAAAGATGGGCTCCCAATGAAACTGCTAAACATATCTTGACACTAGGATGCTGTACTCTCTGCCATTGTCCACATCTGCAATGTCAGGATATACTTACATAGCAGAATGGTTGTAATGATATAGGAGAAATCAGTGTGTGGGGGGTTGGGATTTGGAAAGTGGTAAGGGGAATCCTAAAGTCTATGGAACTGTATCATGGCATTACAAAATTTTTAAAACAGAATTAAGCCCCTCCAGAAAACATTAAGGCAAATCTTTAAAAAAAAAAAGTAGACACGAATTAAATTTTTGGGTGCTGTTATGAATTGTGGCTCCTATACTCTGCATGCTTTCTGTCTAGTAAGAGAAACAAAACTAATATCCAAAATTGCCTGTGTACCAATCAGAAACTCACCTGAGAGGGATTAGAGAGTGAGCAGGGTAAGCAGTGAGTGGAGACAGATTAGGAGAAAAATGAGATCTGCTTTTGAAGCTGTAAAGCTGGCGTGAGAAGCTTTCTTTCTGCCTCAGAGCCATTGGCTATACCAGAACATCATTTGTGGGCCATACAAAAATTAACAACTGAAATTAGCCTGTTATAGATTTACCAAAATTTGAGTCTGACCTATGGTTATCCTGGTGGGGACAAATGGTTCTGTGGGCCTAATACGGCTGGCAGGCTGCATGTGCCACAAACATGCGGCAAAGTGTAAGGTTGCTCATGTGAGAAGCATGTGTTCTGAGGAAGCGAAATACAGGAGCAAAGGCTGTGTGGTGGGGAAAAGCATGGCAGGTCTGAGCTGAAAAATGGCACTTTAGGGACGATTACTGAGAGATGAAAATGTCAGGGAAGTTCAGGAAGTTTCAAAGTGAAAACCCATTGCTTCAATCCAACAATGCCTTTTTTTGCAAACTTGCTGTCAGAAGACTTAGTGTGATAACTGCCATTGTCACAGTGAGTTGTTGCTGTGTCTTCCTATACTACTGTCTGATTGCTAGAACTCACCACTGATTCCAACCACACTGCAGTGCAGGGCAGTAAGCAGTATGCTTGCTTTCTATATTTTTGTCTTTTAACTGCCATTGTGTTTTAAAGTTTTGGTTCATAATATAGCCACGCATATATAAGATGTATGTGTAAAAAAATTCTTATGGGTTGAAATTTGCATCTTAAAATTTTTTACATGGACTTTGAACACATTAAGGTAGTTTCCTGGAGGCTGGCTTAATGGCTCATGGCTAATCCTCCTCCTGCAGGCAGGGACATCCCATGCAGGCACTGGTTCATGCATCAGCTGCTCCACACTCCCTTGTACTCCCTGCTTGTGGTCTGTGAGCACAGTGGAAGATGGCCCAGGGCCTTGCAAACCGGTACCCACATAGGGACCTGAAGAGGGCTCCTGGAGGAGTTCTCGGCTCCTGGCTTAGGATCAGCTCAACTCCAGACATTGCAGTCCTATGAGGAGTGAGCCAGCAGATGGAGGATCTTTCTCTTTATCCTTCTTTCTGTAAAAATCTTCCTAATAAAAATATATTAAAAAATTTTTTAAAGCTATTTTCCACATTCTTTCTTATTCATGCAAAATTTCTATGATTGCCTCTGCTTTACTCCAAGAGAGGAGATATTTACAAACGTCTAATAAAAATATGAAGCCCATTGGCTGCCTGAACTTGTAATCTAATCCCAGTTTGAATCTGGCCTAAGGAGATTGACAAATTCTGATTGAGATACATTATTACATAGACACACCCCCACTAATTCACCAACAGTGAAAGTAATGAAAATGGGCAAATTTGTTTCGAGGAGCCACTTTACAAACATAGAAGAAGCAGGAGGAAAGAGAGTTTAAAAGTGGCTCCTTTTCCCTATTTATTAATTTTGGGAAACAGGAGATAGCAAAACATTTTAAAATTGTAAAGCATTGACTGGTTTTTCATTTGTCAAATTCCTTTGACAGGAATTACACATCATTCTTTCCTTAAGACCACAGCATTGCTAATTTTCTTCATATGTGGACAATTTATCTTTGACCTTTAACAAATGTCTGCTAGGCAGTCCACTTACCATCCAAAAACAATGCCACAGCACCATTTTACATGCACACTAAAGTTTGAAAGCTCCATAAAAATAAATGATCCATGCTACAAGATGCATTAACCAGAAGAATAATAAGCTATTTCAGCCCCGGAAATTTTAGTGCTCAGCCATTCAAAACCTCACTGGGTCACTTTAGTATTAAATTCATTGGAACAGAATGGTAAATACACATGTTTTATTTGTTAAGCAGCCAGCTATATATTTTGTGTGAAAGTTCATTAGCCTAAGAATACCCATTCAAGGACACATTAGGCTGTGTCTATTTAAAAGTGGTGTTTGTTTCCAATGCATGATTTTATGTGTTATAGATGCATTTACTATTAAGCATCATGTATATTTAATATCCAACATCTACTTCAGGGCCCTAAAAAGCTTTTTTCTGCTTTATAGTCTCCATTACAGAAGAGCAAATGTTCAGTTCTCCCACAATTTTGGAAAGTGCAGGCAACCCACAAGAGCTTCTCGTTTTAGCTTAGGGGCCCCTAGGGACCCTGGTAATTGTTATGAAGTCATTAATTCTACCTCAGCAGTTTCAACTGTCAGGTGCATGTAACAATAATTGCAGTTAATGAATGCTGCTCAATTTATTAAGTGCAAAATGAAACCAGGATTATTTTATATGCAGCTCTGAGGCATACAGCATTTTTCATTTGCGTATCCCATGCTCAATATATTCCACTGTCACTTTAGGGTCAGTGTGTACATGTATATATGTGTATAAATTTTTTTTTAACATTTCTCCTCATTAAAAAGTAATGTGGGGGAATCCTAGCTCTCAAATTAAGGAGTAATTAAAATGATGAGGACCCAAACTAATACTTAACAGGAATTGATGCTTATGGAAAATAATTCAGCAGCCCCAAGATTTAGCATTTGCTTTGAATAAACAAGATTCTTATGCCACCCTCCCCTACTACAATTCTTACAAGAGGATGAAAAAGTGTAAAAGACTCCATCCAGTAGCTGGAAGTACTACGGTTGCTTTTCATAGTTTCTGACAGTAAAATTTTTGGGTACATGATACAGCCTGTTTCATAATTTTAAAGTGAGAACTACACACATTTTCAATCACTCAAAGTAAACCGCATAGACATTTGCAAGAGCAAAGAGGGAAGAATTTCTGAAAACATACGATGAAACAGTATCATTCTTAGGATCCCACAGGCATCTGCTTCCGATAAACAGGCTCTGACTGCTTGACTGTCCAATGTGAATGTTTACAATTAGTTTATACCGTGGAGGCATCAAGTCCTTGACTCGGGCTTTAATAACCTGAAAAAAAAAAAAGGTTCTCAATTAGTCACACTGAAACTGAAAAATCTGTTTTTGCCATAAATATAATGGATTTTGTTTAATACAACAGCATGATATACATCGTAGATATTTATATGCAGTAGAACTGTTAATTATGATGCCCCTTAACTAAGATCCTCATGAGACAGGACATTCAGGGACAAAGTGGCAACACCAGTAATAAATCTATGTTCCCTGAGGAATATAGAAAGATTGCAATACAGGGCACAGAATGCACTGGCTGGATGCATTCTTGGAAAATTTTTGCTAAGATGGCTTCCTGTCAGACTGTTGCCCACACTCATAATAGCTGGTTCCTATCTAAGTAAATGCCTATACATCTGGAGTCTTTTGTAATATAATGAATGTTTATTAGGGCACTTGTCATAAACAGGAAACTAGAGAAAATCACAAGGAAGTGTCAGCTTTTCAGTTGATAACAATGGGAATATATTTGAATGCCATGATGTCTGCTTTTGATACAGTAACAGAGAAGCTGCCTTGGTGAAGAGGAAAGGATCATTAAAATATTATGTAAAATACGTAAAATATTTTATAGCAAACATTAAAATAAGTGGGGGCAGTTTTACACATTTTTTTTTGCTATAAAATATATACAATGCTGGACATAATTATGTTAGACAAAAGTATTTACACACACATACAATACATGGCAAACAACCTAATGAGTATGTTCTTGACATATATAATTATGCACTTCAGGTGCTCCTGCAAAATAATTTCCTTCATGAAAATGTAGGAGGTGGGTTGCACTTTAAGTAAATGCTGAAAATGGTAGCGTTAACACTTTAGGCAAATCACACATGTACCTCAGAAATTGTTTTTGTCATCTGTCTGCACAGCTCTGGTTCATATTCTTCTTGTTGTAGATAGTTGGTTAGCACATCTTTCAAAATATGATTCACAGCAGCCACAGGAAAAGGTTTGGTGGGACCTGAAATCATACATGGAATTGCTAAGAATTCATTTTGAATCACATTCACCCACCCCATAGGCTAATCAAAATCACATTGAAACACCAAGAGACATCCAATCTTCAGGTGGCGTGGAGTTCCTGCAAGAGGGCATCCCCGACTAGGTTTCCAGTTAGGTTTTCTGGGAGAGGATCAAAAAAAACATCCACCAGTGGGGAACATCTGGACTCTGGACCTTACAAGATCCATGAAATTAATTGATCTGGTCCTGCTAAGGCAAACACAGGCAAGACTCAAAATTTGATAAAATCTATAGCAGGCTTATTTTTAAGTTGATAATTCTGGCCTACAAATGCTGTTATATCTGTCCTTGGCAGAAGAAAGGATCCTCACCCCTGCTAGACTCGGGAAGCTGCCAGATTACCTGGAAAGTGTGTTGAAAGCTGCTAAGGTTTCACACTGAGGGTCTCTCCCTTGTCAGTTCCCATTGTTAGTGACTCACTTCAAAGTCTCCATGTGTGGAAGCAATTCCCCAGCTTGTCCCAGATCTCACAGTGACACTGTCCCCAGTGGGGACCAGGCTCAGCCCCAACCAACCTGTAGCCTTTCTTTTCTACCATTATTATCTCCATTTTGAAAATGGGAAAACAGAGGTTTCACTTAATTATTTCTTCTTGGTGTCACTTTTATTTTTATTTATCTAAAAGTTTTAATAGCCACAATTAAAGTTATACATATTTAAAGGGTATTTTGTGATTTTTTGTGACACGAGTAAATATGAGTAAAAATCAGGTCAATATATTTATTTCTTAAAACATTTAATATTTCTTTTTTTTAAGATTTATTTTATTTTCGTTATCAAGTCAGATAATACAGAGAGGAAGAGAGACAGAGAAGAAGCTCTTCCATCCAATGATTCACTCCCCAAGTGAGCGCAAAGGCCAGTGCTGCTCCGATCCAAAGCCAGGAGCCAGGAGCTTCTTCCAGGTCTCCCACAAGGGTGCAGGGTCCCAAAGCTTTGGGCCATCCTCGACTGCTTTCCCAGGCCACAAGCAGGGAGCTGGATGGGAATGGAGCTGCTAGGATTAGAACAGGCACCCATATGGGATCCTGATGCGTTTAAGGCAAGGAGTTCAGCTGCTAGGCCACGGCGCCGGGCCCACATTTAATATTTCTTTATGCTAAAAACTTACACAATTGTGACTTCTAATTTATTTTTTAAACAAAGAAATAAATATCTAGTACATTAATATTATCTATTCCCCCCAGCTGTACAGTAGATATCCAGAGCTTCTTTCGCTGGTTTAACTGTAACCTATCCAGTGTTTTAGATACTGTAGTGTGTCCAGAAGGCAGAGCTGGGATGCACATCCAGGGTATCTGGTGCCAGGACTCAGATATTCAGCTATACTTGGTTTTCACATTCAGAGTAGAAGTCTCTGGGAAATCTTTGTCTGGCATCCCTGGAACGCTATCCACAAAATCTTGTTGTCTTTTTGCTCATCACTTCTTCATACACACATACGCCCAGGGCTTGGTATCCAGCAGCTCAATCACTGTTTATTGAATGAAGGATTCAAGTACGACTTCTCTGCTTCCAGTCTAGAAAGGCACCTTGGGAAGCAGCAACATAGGATGGCCCAAATCTTTGGGTTCTTTTCTTTTTAAAAAAGATTTATTTGTATTATGTTTTTATTGGAAAGGCGGATATACAGAGAGGAGAGACAGAGAGGAAGATCTTCCGTCCGATGATTCACTCCCCAAGTGAGCGCAACGGCCGATGCTATGCCGATCCAAAGCCAGGAGCCTCTTCCGGGTCTCCCACGCGGGTGCAGGGTCCCAAAGCTTTGGGGCGTCCTCGACTGCTTTCCCGGGCCACAGGCAGGGAGCTGGAAGGGAAGTGGGGCTTCGGGGATAGAACCAGCGCCCATATGGGATCCCGGGCGTACAAGGCGAGGACCTTAACCACTTGCGTCACAGCGCTGGGCCCATCTTTGGGTTCTTATCACCTAAGTAGAAGACTCCTGTCTTTGGCCTGGCCAGTGCTTGCTGTTACATTCTCTCTCTCTCCTTCTCTCATTGTCTTTCAAATGAATAAATAACATCAATGTGTAGTAATAAGTACTTACTTTTAAATCAGTGTGTCAGGAAATCCCAGTGATACTAATGTTGAAACAATTCAGGGAGATTGAATGGGATGTAAACAGCCCTGAGAGATCCACAGTTCCCTGGGTTAGTGCAAGTGAGGGTGTTATTAAATTCAGATTGGGACTACCATGTTTACTTTCTAAAATACGTATTTATTTATTGAAAGTCTCCACAACCGCCCTGCTTGGGGAATCTAGGAGGGAGGCTCCTGCTGGACTGAAGAGGAATCAGCAGGAGAGGATTCCATGGAGAATAGTTGTGTCCTTCGGCTGTCTGTTGTAACTCGCAGGCAGGTAGCCAGGGGAATCTGCAGGCTAGGTTCACCGGGACTTTCAATAAATAAATACATATTTTAGAAAGTAAACATGGTAGACCCAATCTGAATTTAATTAAACAGATCATGATATTTGGAGTTGTACTCCTTTTCACCTCCTCCTATTGGAGACTCATCATATAGATCATAATTGATTGTCACCGATAAGCAGTGACACGAAATAACGAGGCACACCCTCGAGGGTCTGGAAAAACAGGAACTGCCACCGCACACGACCCCTTTATCGCCGAAAGCCGGCTGCATTTATCCTTTTCTGCTGATTTATCCCCGTTGGTCTTAGCTTTTCTCCATGCTTCTCTAGCCCTCTCTCCTCTACTTTCCTTCCTGTTCCTCTCCTTGTAGGTCTAAATTGCTTTTATACCCCTTTCTGCTGCTTTTTCCCATTCTTCTCGTTCCATCCTTCGTTCTTCTCCCCGTCTTTCTCCTCCTCATCCCGTACGCCTTAGCTTTTCCCTTTCTCTGCTGCCTCGTTCTTCTCGTTCCATCCATCGTTCTTCTCCCATCTTTCTCCTCGTCCCCTCCTTAGCTTTTGCCGGCTGCTTTTATACCGTTCTCCACCAATCACTTGTTCTCGTGGGCCCACTTGGCGCTACATGACAGGCCAGTAACGATGACATAATTGCAGCGAGGGCATCGGCCTATCCCTGTGACTTCTGTTTACCTGCTGGCGAGATCAACCCCGCCTCCTGGCCCTTGGCCAGCCGCCATCTTGCCACGGCCTTGCCTACTCTGGGGAGTGGCGTCAGCATCCTGCTCCCCACACTTGATCCTCACCATTCACACGAACTCCATCTTGCCTTGCATAACCACCTGTGTGTATGCACTGTTTCCATCAGAAAAAAAAAAATTGCTTTCTTAAATGCAGATGTTTTGTCTGCTTGGTATTCCTCTTTCTTTTGGAAACAGCACCCACCTTGCTAGAAAATGGTCTTCTTGTACTCCAGGCTCACAGCTGTTTAGGACCTGCCAATAAAAAGATGCTACTCTAAGCCAAGCCAACCACAGTTCTTTCTAAGAGCTTTTAGGTTAAACTGCACATTAGGCAAAAAGACTCAGCCTCCTTCTGGTGTCAGATCATGACCTATGACCCTGAGGAACTGTTGCAGTCCAGGTTTTTCTGGGTGGGAAGAAAGCCAGCCACAGTAAAGAGGAAGGCCACACCTAGATCAGTCTAGGGAACATTCTGGAGGCACTGGAATCTCTATTTCTGGTGATTTCCTGGTCCAGCTGTTTCATTGTCCTGTCCATACCTTTCCTGGTCTTTTTTAAAAAGTCCATGTACCAGTATATTTTGAAAATATTTTGAAACACAGTCATGAAACTGTCTTCTCAGTTCTGCAATGCTGATCTTTATTCTATACCTCCAGATTCAACTATGCCTTGCTTGGATTTGTGCTGAGATACAAAGACAAAAGGTACATGTTTAGCTTTTGACTAAAGTTAAACCAGAAGTTACCAGAACCAACAAATATAAATGGCAAGTTCTTTGAGTCCCAGATGCAGCAAAGCCTTACCTAGTCTTTGCTTGCCTGTCTGAAAAGTCTGAGAACCAGCTGCAATCAGGACCCTAATGTTAACACTAAGACCCCCGTTTGTTGCTTTGTTTTGTTTTGTTCCTTGTAGGGGTAAGAAGGCAGAAGCTGAATGCCCCTTTCCTCTTTATTTTTAAAGATTTTATTCTTGGGCCCGGCCCGGTGGCGCAAGTGGTTAAGGTCCTTGCCTTGCACGCCCGGGATCCCATATGGGCGCCAGTTCTATCCCGGCAGCCCCACTTCCCTTCCAGCTCCCTGCCTGTGGCCCAGGAAAGCAGTCGAGGACGGCCCAAAGCTTTGGGACCCTGCACCCGCGTGGGAGACCCGGAAGAGGCTCCTGGCTTCGGCTCGGCATAGTATCAGCCATTGCGCTCACTTGGGGAATGAATCATCGGACGGAAGATCTTCCTCTGTCTCTCCTCTCTGTATATCCGCCTTTCCAATAAAAAAATAATAAAAACAAATCTTTAAAAAAAAGATTTTATTCTTTTTATTGGAAAGACAGTTATACAGAGAGGAGGAGAGACAGAGAGGAAGATCTTCCGTCCTATGATTCACTCCCCAAATGGTCACAACGGCCAGTGTGGAGCAGATCTGAAACCAGGAGCCAGGAGCCTCCTCTGGGTCTCCCATGTGGATATAGCATCCCAAGGCTTTGGACCAATCTCCACTGCTTTCCCAGGCCACAAACAGGGAGCTGGATGGGAAGTGGGGCTGCTAGGATTAGAGCCGGAGCCCATATGCAATCCTGGTTTGTGCAAGGCGAGGACTTTAGCAACTAAGCTACTATGCCAGACCCATTCCCTTTCCTTTGATTGTATTCCGGCACTTCATCTGTTTTCTCAACAACATTGCCTAATTTCCATCTTCAAGGAACTGCAAGGACCAGACCAGCTGTTCCAGAACCAGTCCCTGTCCCCTCCCTGGAGTGTCTATCAGCTTCAACTATGAATCAAAGTGGGGATGATGATAGTGATGAGACTTCTCCAGAGGAGATCCGATAGTTATCAGGAAGAGTACTGGTGTAATGCTGGTAGGACTAGCACCTGTGCAGAACGAGCCCTCTGGAAGCGACAGTAATGCACTGGTTACAGAGCCCTCTAGTCTGCACTTAACTAGCTACAAGGCCTAATGGGATGTATTGATGGCCTATAATTTTCTTGGGGATAACTGGCCACAGGTAGAATTATCCAGGCCCATAGAGTCTTTCCCTCTGCCCTTCAGCAAGTCTCTCTGGCCTGTCCATAGAGTAATAATTATCTGTGGAGTCAGATAATGGTGGGCAGCAATGCAGTTGTAAACAAGTAGGTCTAAGGAGGGAACATGAAAGCAAAAAGATACTCACCTGGATTCCACTGAGAGTATAGGGCAGGTGCAAAGATTTTTATTTTCAAAGACCCAAAACCTCAGTGGTAATAACAGATAAAAATCTTCATCAACAGGGGACCATGGATCATGTGCCTCCGCCTTGAGGTTTTTTTTCTCTAACAATCACCACTGATTTTTTTTTTTTTTCATTTAACTTACAGAGACTTGTGGAAATGTTTGTGGAATATGGGATTAAAAGATAATTATAGTTTGGTGCAAAAAATGTTTTTTGAAATCTATGCATATAACTCCAAGATGTTCATAGATAAATGTGTATTATGAAAGAGCTAGCTCAAACATTTTTACACTAAGCAGCATCACTTGATTCCATTTTTTTGTGGATTTTTTTAATATTTTGCAGTTTTGATCATCCCTTTTATAAAGTTTATTCATTGACTGATTATTTGAGGAAGGGAGGAAGGGTTAAGAGAAGGCAGAAGGAAGGAGAGGGAACTCTTCCATCTGCTTGTTCAGTCCTCACAGCTCTGTCACACCTCAGACTTAGCCCGGCCAAAGCCAGCCACTACTCCATCAGTTTCCCTCATGGCTGGCAGGGACCCAAGTACTTGAACCACCACTAGCTGCCCCCAAGGTGCATGATAGCAGGAATACTGGATCAGAAATGAATGTGGACGTGAGCCTGGGAACTAGAACATGGATTGTAGATGACCCAATGTTGGCTTGACCTGCTGTACTAGGATGCCTAATCCTTTGCAAACTTTCTCACGTACTCTTTGCTTTCATATCTACACAGTGTGAAACAGCAAGTGAACTGCTACATTCAGTAACAAACTGCGCACATCCGTGCCAGTCAGTGAAGTGCCTGATGTTCAGGAATCACGGCTAAGGAAAAGCAGATGATGGGCACTGGTTCCCTTTTACGGAAGAGAGTAACAGCATCAGCTCCCTTCATCAAGTGTGCTTCCTCACATTATGCTAGGATGTAATGCAACATCATGTCAGGAGACACTTTATATACATGGCAGGGACCAAGCTGGAACACTAAAACAGGGCTGGGAAACAAAATACAACGCACCCAGCTGGTAGGTGTTTTCCATCTGCACTGTAAGGCGGGAGACATCGTCACGCAGGCTGGGTTCATCTGTGTAAGACACAGTACTCATGGAGCTAAAAACAAGGGAGAAAACATTTTAATCATTGTTCTAACAGCTCTAAGCTGAAATACTGCAAGGGGAAAGTTTTCTCTAAGAAAATGTCAAGTCAGTACCTTAGAATTCTTTTCCCCCCACATCAGACGGGCAATGTGCTGATATCATAACAAGGTTGGAGAGAGGTACATGGCACACAGATGTATGTAAACTCAATCATCACGCCTATGAACCACGAAAGCATCCCTTAGAAACATCTTAATAACATCGTTAAAGTTTAAAATATTTTAGATGCAAATATTAACACAGGGGGAAGTTACTTGGAGCACGTCTCAATTGGTAATTGATGCCCAGTGTAATTACGCAGTCCAGCTGACTATCCAGATTCACTTATGTCTAGAAGGTGACTCAGTCCGCATTGTGAAACCATCACCACTTGTGTCTCTGCCTCAGGGCAAAGGCTCTCATCCCAGCAGGCTAAGTTCACCAATGGAGCTTGGGACCATGTGAAGAAGCTTAACATACTGAGAAACATCTCTGCATTTATCTGGTGTATTAAAGGGTTCCCTATTACATGCACCTCACGAAGTCCCTTCCATGTGAAAAAAAAAAAAAGAGAAACTCCTTTTCCTGGTGAAAGGAACCACAATTCATTCAAACTATCAAAAATCAATAAGCATCAATCACCCTTTTCAACATTAAGAAAGGATCCATTACCAAAGGGCTAGTTACCAAGGCAATATGAGCTTACCCAGGTGCTAAATAGGAGACCCAAGCAAAGAGCAGCCCCTAACGTCCCTCCAGCTCTACTTAATTCTGCTTGGTTCACAGGGAATCCAACTGTCACTAATGCAAGTCTAAGCACGTTCCACCTTCCATTTTCTCCACCTGTGAAAATGGACGTTACAACAGATGCCATCTGAAAGGAGATGAAATAATAGTGTGTGAGTGTTTTCAAAGTGACCACTTTCCTAAGAAGGATTTGTTTTGACTTTAATTAAACAAGAAAGATTTGTTCTTAATCTTTTGAGTTTCTTTTTTTCTCTTCAAGGAATTTAAAGTGCTTAGTTCTTTTTTTTTTTTTGAGTGAGTGCTTTTGAAATTTTGTATTTAAAGAAAACCATGAACTATCCACTTTGATTAGGCCTTTTGCTTTGCAACTTTGATACAACAGAAATATCTTGATAAATTGAGGTTTCAGGCAGCCCATGAATGTGGCGTATGACACTGCGAATGCTTTTCTTTCATGATGTATTTCTGGGTTAATGATTCAGTCTTCCATTCGTACAACACCTGCTTTCCTCAATTTGTTTCTTCCCTTTGAAGTAGCAACCAATTCGTTTGGCCGCAGCAGTTGCAGGTGTTGTGGGCAGCGCCAAAGGATTGTTGATTGCATCTGCTTAAACAATCCCATGTTGTATAAACTCCCTGATTGTAAGATAAGCTGCCTGCTGCAGTATTATATACGCCACTTCTAACTTTGCAAAAACATTTCCCAACATTGATCTCATTTTACCTTCACAATAGCCTTTAAGTTAGGGAGTCATTATTCTACTTGTTTTTCAGAAAAAGGAGTGAGACCATGGAATCAATGTCATACACATGGGAAATACAGACATGGTTCAGAAATTCCATTTACTTCCCAGTGTCAGAGTCCCACATGTGAGTATACAGCAGAATAAGGGCAATGATATCCAAAAATAACTATTGCAATGAAAACTTATTTGTACAAACAGAAGAAGGTATTGATAAAACACTACTTGTTTTCTGTTGAGCACCAAATTAAAATTCATGGAAAGAGAAATGTAGTTGGTAAAGCATTAAACTAACTGTAGCACAAAATCTAAGATGTACAGGCTAGCCCTCACTATGACAGTGTCCAGGGCTACTAAAGTTTAATAATCAAATGCATCTGATAATATGACAACTGTGAGATTGGTAAGTAACCTCAGGATAGTTTAAAAAACCCACAGCCTGAAGATTGGCAAGCAAAGAGCAAATCTTGTAGAATGATTTTTTTGAGTTATTGACTGTGGTTTCTTTCAGTGCCTTTTTATTTTCACAGTAATCATAAAAAAGTGTATACTTGTTACACAAAACTCAAAGCATTAAAAAATATAAAGAAGAAATAAAAATTATACAAAAATCACAATCCCAGTAGCTATTAAGCTACTGTTACATTGAACAAAATCTTTTATGCCTGGGCACATGATTATATTACAGATGGCCTCCTTTTTTTAATTCAACAGGGTATTATGGATTAACTTTCCATGTCAATAAATAGTAACCAACACCATATTTTAAATACTAAGATAGCATTTAGGGTCTAGCGTGGCAGCTCAGCAGTTAAAGTCCATGCCATGCATTGTGATCCGTTATGCTTGTCAGTTCTAATCCTGGTAGCCCCACTTCCCATCCAGCTCCCTGCTTGTGGCCTGAGAAAGCAAATGAGGACAGTCCAAAGCCTTGGGACCCTGCACCCTTGTGGGAGACCCAGATGAGGCGCCAGCCTCCTGGCTTCAGATCGGCTCAACACTGGCTGTTGCAGTCACTTGGGGAGTGAATCATTGGACAGAAGATCTTCCTCTCTGTCTCTCCTCCTCTCTATATAACTGATTTTCCAATAAAAATAAACAAATCTTTATTTAAAAACATTTTTTTAAAAGATTTATTTATTTTTATTACAAAGTCAGATATACAGAGAAGAGGAGAGATAGAGAGAAAGATCTTCTGTCCAATGATTCACTCCCCAAGTGAGTGCAACAGCTGATGCTATGCTGATCCGAAGCCAGGATCCAGGAGCTTCTTCCAGGTCTCCCACGCGGGTGCAGGGTTCCAAGGCTTTGGGCCGTCCTCGACTGCTTTCCTGGGCCACAAGCAGGGAAGTGGAGCTGCCGGGACTAGAACCGGCGCCCATATGGGATCCTGGCGTGTTCAAGGCGAGGACTTTAGCCACTATGCCACGCTGCTGGGCCCTAAATAAATCATTTAAAAAGCATTTAATATAGGGATAGTCTGCATTTTGTTAAATTATTTATTCTCCAGGCTACTTAGATTATTTCTAATATTCCACTATTGTAAGGGAATTGTAATGAACATTGTAGCATGGATTACCATTTATTTTTCAGTGTTGCTCTCCCTTTATTTTTTTTTTTTTCTGGCAATAGAATCCTAAATTTATCAAACTCTTTTTTTGTGTACCTTTGGGACCATGCAGTACATGATAGGGGTTGGAAAGGGGACACAGAGAAAAGAGAAAAATAACCCAAACAAAAAAATTTAGATCTTTGTTTCTTGAGAAAATGCAAATGGAAGATACAAAACATTAGATATGACTGAAACATGAGTAAGTGACATTAAACCAGAAAACAAGCTTGATAAAGTTTTAGAAATAAAAGAATTCCTATATTTTAAAATTAGAGAATTATCCATATCAGTTTAGAATAAAAAGGTGTTTCAACAAGTTTATAGTGGTGAAGTTGCCATTTGGGATGGCCACAATGGAGTTCCTGGGTTTGAGTCCTGGCCTCATTCATGATGCAACTTGCAACTCTGAGCTCCCTGGCAGACAGGAGGTGATGGCCCCAACACTGCCACTCATATGTGGAATCATTTCTAGCCTCCTGGCATTTATAGGCTTCTGGGGAATGAACCAGGAGGTTGATACCTCTCTCTCTCTCTCTCCTTCTGTCTCTCTCTGTCTCTCTTTCTCTCTCTCTGCCTCTCACCCCCTCAAACAAATAAATAAAAGACAAGCTCATTTTGGTCCCCCAACATTGAAATCTATACATAGACTCTTCATAATATGCATTTTCTGTGAACTAAAGACCCCTCATAATAGCTTAGAAAAACTTGAACATTTTAAAGCAGTTTCACTCAAGTCCTTGAAACGTTTAAACATGTTAGGAACTCAAAAAAGCACATTAGTCATTTTAATCACCATTGCTATGTATACATAGCATAATGAACTCAATGGGTATATGTCACATTGCAAGTGGAGGATGGAGGAATTTCAGATCTCTAAATCCAGGCTTTCCACAGTTGACAATGAAAGCATCTCTAGCTAGACAGGTGAGCTCATGGCAAAGGGAATACTACAGTTACCTGTCTTTTTTCATACATGAAAACTCTTCTTTCTGTCTTTCGGTTTCATCAGCCCATGCTGGCATTGATGAGGAAAGATTTCAATTAGGACTTCATGTCCAGGACAGTGGTGACGCTTTAGGAATGATGTCGGATTAAAGGAAATGCAGCAGAGGCTGCTGTGGAAGTGCCATAGGTTAATCTGTGGCTCCGAATGCGGGCATCCATGTCAGGGTCCCGGCAGCTCTCCTGTTCCCACACTCCCTCTGATGCTCTTGGGAAAGCAGAGGGTCATGGGTCAAGTGCTTGGGTGCTTGACCCCCATGTGAGAGACCCAGATACTGTGGCTCCTGGTGTCAGCCTGGCCAGTGCAGCCCTTTGGCGAGTGAACTAAGAGATAGAACTCTTTCTCCTTTTAAATACATAAATGAATCTAAATTTTGAAAAGGCAAATCAGAAAGAGTGAAAGGTTGGCACAAACTACTAGTGAAAGGCACCCTCTCACAACTCAATATTATTCCAGGAAAGGAGTAACAGGAACCAGACAGAAAATTCAGTTAATCTTCAGATCCGGATGGATTACTATTGCTGAAGACAGAATTAGCTTGCATGCACAAATAGCTGCATGGAACTGGTAGAACATACTAAAAGTGATTCTTTCGCATTGTACTTCTTGTACTGAAAATATCTTATGAATACCCAGTAACCTCTATCCTGATTGAATATCTACACAGAAAATTTGAAAGAAATAGCTAAGAAGTTAGAGCATGTATATTTTTTCATGAAATTCAATTTACTTAAAGATACTTGGTATTTTTGTTTGCCAACCAATCCTTGAATTACGTGGAATAAATACAATGCAAACCTTATTGTTATGACTATGTGAGAGAGTAACAATAATTTGAATTAAGCTTCACCAGCAACAATAGTATTTAT